ACATTGGAGGCGCTGTGGGGGGGCAGGGGGCGGCGAAGGCTGGAGCGTCTGGCTGGCAGGGCACCAGAGCCCAGCGGGCGACCCTCCCGCCCTCCATGTGCTTGTGAGCCCAAAAGCCGCCGAAACATCCCGCCAGAGCCGCGCCTCCACTCGGAGGCCCTGACGAGAGTGAGAAGCCAGGGCTTTCTTCCCACCCACCCCTGGCCCAGTTCAGGTGTTCCCCTGCCGCTGCTGCCTTTTCCTGCAATGGGTGCTGCTGCACGTTGGGGAGCTGCCGGGGGTAACTACCCACTGGAAAAATTTGTTTCCCCCCCCCCCCCGGCCAGAGGGGTGGCTAGAAAGAAAGTGTGGGGGGGTTACTTCTCCTCCTCGTCATGCCCGGGCCATGGGTGTTTGCCCCGCGGCTGCCCATGCGGTGGCCCGGACACGCACCGCCCCTCCAGCCTGCACATCTGCGCACCGGGACAGCCGCGCCAAGGCTGTCGTCCAGGGCTGGCTGGCTGGCTGGCTAGCTAGCTGGCGGTGGAATTTTGCTTTGCCATGATCAGTTACCTGCTTGGGGAATCGATCATCACAAAGCAATGCTTTTTTAACAGCTGATTGGCGGTTTCTAAATGACTGCCCGCTGTTTTCTGAGATGGATTCCTCGCTTAAGAGGCACCAGAAATGGCAGCACTATGGAGGATCTTCACTCAACGGTGAGTTATAAGCCCATAGGAACGCATTAATCGCGTTTTAATGTGTTTCTATGGGCCTTTTATTTTCACATTGCGACATTTTCGTTTAGCAGCGATTTCGCTGGAACGAATTAACGTCACAATGCGAGGCACCACTGTATGAGATGGAATGACTCTCTTAAGGAAGTGATAGGCTTGAGTCTACAAGAGTTGAGTACAGGACATTTAGGACATTGCTCATTCATAGGGCCACCATAAATCAGAAGCAACTTGACAGCACATAGCAGCAGAAGCAAAAAGGGATCTTTTTGTTGGCTAGACTTATCAGACATCATTTACCTGACCATCACTATGGGGATATGGTGGACACAAGGTAAAGTCGCATGCATTCTACATCTGTATTAAAATCACCAAGGATATTCCTTTCTACCTTGTATCCACAGCTCCCTTTCAACACAGCCAGGAGTATAAGCAATAAGAATTCTTGAATTCACCTTTTGTCAATGTCACATAATTGAAAGACTGCTAAAGTTAAAACAGGAAAAGAAAAACTGTTTGCTTCCTCTCCATCACAACTCCACTCTCTTCTTGTTAAACAGCTGAGTGGTCAGATTGTAGCACAAAACTGGAAGGCTTGAGCACTGAGCAAAGGTTACAGGTATGATCTCTGAGAGCAGCACATGACCTTGGCTTTTGCACTAGTTTGTAGGACCCTCATATCTGCTGGGAATTGGTTCTAAGCCCATTGTGGATACTGAAAACCATGGATAATAGTGATCAATCTATCTAATCTATCTATCTATCTATTGTATGATACAGTGGGGTCTTGACTTAAGAACGGCTCGAGTTAAGAACATTTTGACTTAAGAACCACTCTCATAGGAAAATATAGTCTTGACTTAAGTACTTAGATTTGAGTTAAGAACTGAAAAAAACCCACGTGGGAGGCAGGGAAAGTGCAAAATGTGAACTTTCAGTTAACTGTTGGCCAGTGAAAAGGGTGCCTGTCTGCTTCTTCACTCCTCCCAGCATTTAGAGAGTGGATTGGGAGACAGTCTTCGGACTGCCTGGTCCTGTACTGCCTGGACTCTATTTTCCCTGTCTTCCCTGCACCTTTCTTGACCTAAGAAAAAAAGAAACAAAATATCCCCCTCTAGTGGTCGAAGGCGGAATAGCAGCTTTCCATTAGTTTCTATGGACGGAAAAGAGCCGATACGGATCAAATGGTTTTCAATGCATTCCTATGGGAAATCCAGATTTGACCTGAGTACTTTTTGACTTGAGAACTGCCTTCCAATACGA